AGGGGGGGGGGGCAATTAAACCATTTCATGTGATCACGTGGTGCCGAGGGGGGGGGGAGATTTTATAAAAAATAATACTAATAAAAGCTAAAGGAAGCACTGTGTGATAGATCCAACCACTTTTTTGTTTTTAACCAGTGCAGGCGTTTGCCTGAGACCAACAAAATGATCAAGTGACAAATTATGTCACACAAGACAACAGTAGTAAATGGTACTTCAGTAAATGCAACAACACATTTTTTCATACTGAATTAAAGGTTCTTAAGCCACATAAATATGTCATGAACAAAAAAACATTTAACAAAAAATACAAAGGTTTCAGTCAGCTTTGAAAAATTCAAAGCAAAAAAAAAAAATGCATCCCACTTTTACATTCCATCCAACCTTTACAGGCCATTACTTCCAACCTATACAGGCCATTACTTCCAACCCATACAGGCCATTACTTCCAACCTTTACAGGCCATTACTTTCAACCTATACAGGCCATTACTTCCAACCTTTACAGGCCATTACTTCCAACCTTTACAGGCCATTACTTCCAACCTTTACAGGCCATTACTTCCAACCTATGCAGGCCATTACTTCCAACCTATACAGGCCATTGCTTCCAACCTAATTTACAGGCCATTACTTCCAACCTTTACAGGCCATTACTTCCAACCTTTACAGGCCATTACTTCCAACCTATACAGGCCATTACTTCCAACCTTTACAGGCCATTACTTCCAACCTATACAGGCCATTACTTCCAACCTATACAGGCCATTACTTCCAACCTTTACAGGCCATTACTTCCAACCTATGCAGGCCATTACTTCCAACCTATACAGGCCATTACTTCCAACCTTTACAGGCCATTACTTCCAACTTATGCAGGCCATTACTTCCAACCTATACAGGCCATTACTTCCAACCTATACAGGCCATTACTTCCAACCTATACAGGCCATTACTTCCAACCTTTACAGGCCATTACTTCCAACCTATACAGATTATTACTTCCAACCTATACAGGCCATTACTTCCAACCTATACAGGCTAACAATCAGAGTTACCTACAGCAATGGTTATGGATGTTTACAAAGGTTATATTTTGCAAGTTTTGGTATAAATTTAACTTGTTGCACTATCAAGGCTCCACAATTTATTATTATTTATTTGAGATTTGGGGCCCTATATGAGCAATATGGTGGCCAGATCTTTCACATGTATACAGTTACACTAAGTTACAGATATACAAAGATACACTAGCAGATACAAGCAGGGCACCCTACATGAAATGCACTAGCAGATAGAAGCAGGGCCCCCTTACATGAAATGCACTAGCAGATACAAGCAGGGCCCCCTTCATGAAATGCACTAGCAGATACAAGCAGGGCCCCCTACATGAACTATTTAATTTTAAGGAAATTTACATATTTCTAAAATACCGACCCGCCTCCATTTTTTTTTTGGCCATTTATTGGTGAGGCCTTTTTCAAAGTTCATTTGTGTTAACTTCTCAGTGGGTTTTTTTTCTTCCTTTTCTGATTTCAACAGATTACAAAATAATTTAAATCAAGATTAAATAAGGATGCCTGGACTAGAATACTATTCCATGCACATCAATATTCAAACTGAGCACACCCAAACATACTTGACATGTGAAACATCAATATTCAAACTGAGCACACCCAAACATACTTGACATGTGAAACATCAATATTCAAACTGAACACACCCAAAAATATTTGACATGTGAAACATATATATTCAAATTGGACACACTAAAACACAATTGACATGTGAAACATATACATTCAAATTGGACACACTAAAACACACTTGACATGTGAAACATATATATTCAAATTGGACACACTCAAACACACTTGACATGTGAAACATATATTCAAATTGGACACACTCAAACACACTTGACATGTGAAACATCAATTATACTATTGTTACATATTTACATATGACCTGACATAAAATGTGGGTGAATCATCATAGGAAATGAGGGTTTCATATGCAAACAATAAAATGACAAAAGTTGAATGGAAAATTTATCTTGCTTCACACATGCTCTCATGATCATTGTAAACTTCTCCCAACTTTTTTGGCTTTACTCTGAATTTATGCTTTCCTTCAACAAAGGTCTCATAGGCTTGAAGCATCTGTTGAAATTTTTAAAAATTTGTAGATAGCTGTCCACTATATGCTAAAATATACAAGGAGTATCACAGGCCTAGGGTTAAAATAGTATGTCTTACCAGGGCATCAGACCAATGATGTAAAAACAGTTTATAAAGCACTAGGACAGTGGGTTGAAACCTGTGGCTCTGGAGATGGTGGGTTTTTGAAGGAATAGATGAGACTCCTTATTTCTACTACTGGTACTTGATAAATGACTTTTAGACAATATCCCCCCCCCACCCCCACCCCACCCTCACCCAGACAGTCTACCAAAATAATTTCTAACAGATATGATGCATAAAAATGGCTCCTCACTTAAAAAGGTTGCTGGGGCCTGTATTAAGGCAACACAGTGATGGTGTTCAACTAGTGAGTCATACCAGGAGCACACTGTGATGATGTTAAATATTAGGTCATATAGCCATTGTGTCATTGTCATTTAAAAAAGGAACCATGATAACAGTGACTGAACTTACCTGAAAGGCACACCTCTTGGCAGGCATCCTCCCAATCATGGTCCCTAAGCCAGGGACAAGGACACGTTTAATGGCCTTAAAAGGCTTTAACTTCTTTTTGTTATTGTTGTGGTTCTCAACTGTTGAGGAAACAATCATCAATAATGAAACAATCATCCATTAGGAAACAAATCATCATAAACCAATCATCAAGTAGGAAATAATCAATTAGTAGACAAGCATCAATAGGGAAACAATCATCAATTGGGAAACAATCATCAGTCAGGAGAAAATCATCAATAAGAAAATAAACATCAGTCAATTTGGAAACAATCATCAGTTAGGAATCAATAGTATTTGGGCGTAATGTGAATCATAATCACTTATAATTGTTTACATAACTTTTGCACAGCATAGTTTGGCAAAGCGTCCTGTAAACACAAAAAACAATTCATCAAGAATATATTTATCAGCTCAACAGATTATTCAAGCCGATTAAATTAGCTATGGCAATTTTAAACAATAAAATCAAAATAATCATTTATATATATATATTGCGAAGCATTATCGCCGTCTACCACTTCTTAGCCTTGTCTTTTGTATTTAGAGCATGCGGTAACACAATATTCCATTTTCATAACAGATTTTTGAGGAAATAAAATACTGCACCATAAAAGAATAATCTCCAATCCTAAGACCTTATAAAAATTCACTTGCCAATAGAACTACTTTTTCTAAAACTTATGATGTGCACATACCAGCTAGAAGGACTGCTCTAAATGCCAAGTATGCATTCACAGTTTCGGACACATCATTTGGTACCCTCATAGTTGGTGCTGCGATGAGGTACTCGATGGTCTCCCCATGGTTGAACTGACACCAGTCCACACTTGGGTCTCTGCCTGCACTGTCATAAGCTGGAATGATTACGGCTTGGCCCTGTGGTAGAGTATGGTCATCCCAATGTAAAAAAAAAAGTGGATGGATAAATATAAGGGTTAAGCTAAGATAAAATCTACTCTATTGCAATACAAACTTTCCTAACAAAAGTCAATTATCAAGTAATAATATTTTAATTACCAAAATAACTATAATAAAAACGGCTGGCTAAATAGCATTATTCAGAGCTAAGAACAATCACTACTCACCTAACATGACATAAAAAATTATTTTATTTATGAGAGCCTTAATTTAGTTTTATTATCTTACCACAGGCAGCTCTCCATGATATTCTTCTTGGAGAAGTTTCTGCAAACGGTTTTGCCTGAAATGGGGGGGGGGGGGGGGGGATTTGTTTTTCATTTTCAGAATTTTTTAAAATCTGACATAATAACCTTAATTTATTAAATCTGGAAAAAGGAGAATATTGTTTATGCAAATCATATGACTGCGATAAGTTTAAAAATGCTTGCCAGAATTATGTGTAAATAATATATTTGTAATAAAATTTAGCTAAGTGTCTACCACAATAATAAGTCTGTATTGAGACACTCAGCGATAAACATTCAATCATCTATGTGCTGTCTGAACCCCATGTCAGAATACATTCCAAGTTAACTTACAACTGCCATCCAAAATGTTTACTGTAAGCCATGTCTATGCCACCATCCATGAAACCGAAACTGTTGGCTGGAGAAACCTTAACAGAAAATCAAACTACATTTTAACTCTTCTAGTTTCTGCCCACATGAGTCCATGTTAATAGTTCAATTATCTCTGCTTTCATGTTAGTAAAAAGCTAAACAATTTTAACACTATTGACAGGAGACAAAATTATCAATAAACTCTTTTGTTAAACTCTTTACATAAACTTACACTTGTTTAAATTCATTTATTTAAAATGTAATTAGATTAGAGAAAGCACTATCATTTCTTTTTTTTTTTAAAGTATAAATCAATAAAACTTGCAGTATTAAAATAATAATCATACTTATCAAAGTATATGCCATGAGGAAAGAACATAGCAAATACTCACAATGGCATCAGCTCCGGGTGCACCTTTGAAAATATCTCCTTGTGAAACCTTGACAGTTAAAAAACATCTTCATGGTTAAAACAGAGACTACACTGTTAACAAGATTGTGAGCTTTAACTAAGGGCATGCAAACCATGGGTCCATGCCATGAATATCAAGCATGGAATGATCAAGACTCTCTGCTGTACCCTAAACTCAAGGTTTACATTTCATATATAAATATTCTATTCCTTCACTGCACTGTCAATTTTAACTGAAGAAGGAATAAAAGAAAGTTCTCTAATTTTATTGTACATTGGCCAAATATTATGACAATAAGACTAGGCACAGTAATGTTTAGGGAAAACTTGAAGAAAAATTGGCTCATAGATTTTTAAAAAATACAAATTTAAATTTCAGAATTATTTTTTCAACTTTTCAGATGATTAAAATTTCAAAGGTAAACTGTAAAAGTCAGATATAATTATAATCAGAGGCTGATTTTCTTTAAATATCCATGCTATCAGAGCAATCTTCAGGAACATTTCTTCACTAAATTTTACATTCTTTCAACATTACCATTTAACTACAATTATCGCTCTTACAATATTCTTTGATTTTTACCACAAAAGTCTCATTTTCTTATTATTTTAAAAAGGTTCACCCAAAAATGTTTGAAATATGAGAAAATTAAGTACCGGTATCAAAGAGTTGGGTATTTTTGCATTCACACTTAATTTTTCTCACTCCAGAGCTAAATAAATGAACGGAATAACACTGTGTACATTCCCAAATGGAGACATGAAATTAAAAACTTATCAGATATTGTAACCACCAAATACTTTCAAATAGCAAATGGAGATCAACAATATGACAACATTGTGGTGGGAAAAAACTTTTTTTTTTTTGGCTCAATGAAGAACAAAGAATAGAGTATAATTATATAATTCTTCAAGTTAGCAATCCAGAGAATCCCTTTTTTGTAGCAAACTGGCTGTTGATTTAAGGAATTTGGTTTTAAACAGTTATCAGTTGTTTTTTTAAATTTCAAAATACATTTATTGCAAATGTTCCACATAAAAAGGTCAAAAGATCTTAAATAAAAGTTGAAATCTATTTTTTATACTGAGAAAGCACCTCTCATTTTGATATATTTTACTACCAGACTTGATATATTTTATTACCGGTAACCAGACAGACAATAATGTGATGCAAACTTGTTAATTAATATCTATAGAAGAATACACAATTGTTATAACTGTAAAATTTTGTCTTAGTTAAAATATGTATTGAGTTATGTACTGAAGATAAATATGTACAATGTTCCGGGTAATAAAAAAAACACAAAAAAAACACAAATACACATGGAAATTACATAAATTAATAAACATAACCATTTTCTGCATGTCCAATGAATTCTCTTGATAAAACTCTGTTATTGCTGATTCCACAGATTTACTGCCATATGCCGATAGAGACAAAATTACACCTAACACTGTTTTTTAACAACCTGGATATGGCCATAACTTTGCGTTTAAGATCAACATTTTTGCCACTGACATATTAGTGCTCTCATCTACTGTTAACTGTGGAACTCTGTATTGTAAAGTTCGCCAATTATAGCATCCTTCACTACAGAATCGATAGAATCTACAAAGTCAGAAGTGTAATTGTTGCTGTATGCACAAATTCATTGATCCATTCTACTTTGAAATTTGATCTAAAATTTTTCTTAAAAAGTAATGAAGCTGACGGTTTGCTTAAATGATGGTTACACATAACAGTTAAAGGATTACAAATACTTGGCCATTACACTTATAATAAACTAGATGATATATTTAATTTATACACATTCACTGCAAAGTCTGTGCCACAAACTTTTCATGAATGGCAGCAGTTAAGAACGAGGCTAGCTTGTTCCAGTATATATCGGTAAGGATGTTAATCAATAGTTCTACATAAATGTAGGAGACAGAAATATAGATCTGAAGGAAAAAAAAATTAATGGATGTATATGTTATAAAAACTGTATAGATCTGGTTGCAGAGTGCAGCATATCTTTTTGAATTTATCCGTGTCAAAGATTGCCGTGCAATGACTCAAAACTTCTGCGCAGCATCTGTGAGATAGCTACGCCGCTGAGTAGCTTAAAGGAAAAATATCTTTTAGTTTAATTTTTCACAATAATTACTTTTAAAAGTCTGAATTTTATCAAATATATCTTAAAAATGAAAATGTAAATAAATAGAGTTTTTATAAATCAAGAACCTGTTGTTTTCAATGTCCATTACCTTCAACATCTTTAATGATAATTAAACAATATTTAAAAATAATTATGAGAAATCAGTAAAAGAATTTTAAAAATTAGCCGCCATAAATTTTTTGGCAGTACCTTAACTTTATCTTTATATTTAGAAAATGCATCCTCCCAAGCCAAAACAATATCTTGATTCAGATCCCTGAGGTAGTAAACAACATCTTTATTGTGAGCTACATCTGCTTTGGCCATCTGGAAATCGGAAAAGGAAAAATAAAGTTAATAAAATGTATTATTAACTGAAAAAATTTTATAAGCATATTTTTAAATAAAATAATAGCAAAAAACTAAATGACTGCAATGTGAAGTGTTATGAGTTGTGCTGCTCACTGGATTTTCTTCATGCACAAGCAATTTGTAAAATAATGTTTCCAAAATAACTTTGCCTAATCTTAAATTTAGGTGACCATTCATGCTAATTTTAAAAGGACTATTTTTATTGTGAGCTAAAACCATTGCAGTTTAAGGCTAGAGTAAAAAAAAAAAATAGTCTTTAGCATTATGATTATGAATGATACTTACAAATTGCCAATAGGGTAGGTACAAGACACAGGTAGTTTTTAGAAGTTATTTACAATTTACATGCACAAATTAATTTAATATAACAAACAACAAAACAAAAACCTACTTAGCCTAAAATTAGTAAACATGTCTTTTAAAAAATGCCTAAATCAAAAATGAGCTAATCAGTTTAGGTTTAAAAGATAAACATAAGCTTTAATGCCTTTTTTTGAGACTTTATTAAGACTTCAGGACGCGTGTAATATATATACATATAAACACATATTTAAACATTATTGTTAATGTAGTCAGTGGCTTTTTTTTTCCATCCAAACAGCCATTTACTTCATTTAGTCTTAAAAAACCCGTGTCCCATTAGTCTTTAGACTAAATGGCTATTCGGATGTCATTAGTCACTAGTGGTAGTTCATTTTAGTAAAACTGAAGAAGTAAGTTTACAAACATATAGCCCATTCAATTATCTTTCATTTGATACCAAATTTTGTCTTACAAACTCAACAATAATATTTTTAATATTTTGTTAAGAAACCCCACCTCTCGCTCTTTTCGGGGACTGAAACCCGGGTCTGAATAGCTGCAGCCTATTTATAAAAATAAAATAAAAATAGTTTAATCATAATTACTTATTAAGTAATGTGACTAATAATACATAATTTAATGATATAAGAACGAACAAGATTTCTTTTTTTACTTTAGCATGTCACTTGTGACTTGTGCCTTTAATGCCATTAACAGTGATTAGATAAAGACTGTACTGTAATGCCTATAAATAGTATAAAGACTAAAGAAATATAATTAAAATTCAAATATTTCATTCATTTTCATTAAAATTAATCATTTTATTTGAATAATTGGTCCAATTTAAATCATCTCAACCCTGTATTAGGTAACTATGACACTTCGCTACGTTCACAAGTTGTGAGCCTGAAACATCTCTGAGACATCAATCATAAACATGAACTTAATGTTATTAAAAATAAAAACCACTTTGGGCTATCCCGATTATAACCAAGGTGCCACTAAATTTTTTCGAAATTTCCCAAGATTTCCCAAGGTTAAAGAAAATACCATTTCATAATTATTCCCCAAATCCTAAGGGGATGGGGGTCGTGGATGCCCAGGATCTTGAGACATTTCCCAAGGTCTGGTAGCCCTGCAACAGTGAACTGTGAACTAAAAACATTTTATGTTTAGGAGAGTAGTTACCCTTTCAAACTGGATAATTACGAACTTGTCCTTGTCTCTAAGTAATCTAAGTGTATCTATTTTTTACCACGCCCCTACTTTTTCCCTCTTATAAAGACCATAAAGTTAATTGATACTTTAAACTGTTTTTGTAAGTGATGTCTTTAAATTTTTTATTACATAAACTTTTTTAAATAGCTGACATTCCAGGGCAAAGTTAAAGTCAAAGTGGACAAACTTTGACAAAGTATTACTATTTTATTAGTAAGTAAGCTGCAATTTGTAATCTTCAGTCAATTTGAATTAGGCCCTATGTCTATGTGAATGAAATATTTTATTTTGAAGTTGATATTCTTTATTATAATTATTATACTTTATAATTATATAATATTGACCCCCTGGAAATGGACTGATGAATGGAATGGGAAGTGGGTGTTAGTAAAAAAAATTTAAAAAATTAGTGTTAGTGTTACTGGGGGTAAATAAATAGTCCAAAAGAACTTCTCTATTTAATTTTCATTAGTATTAGGCATCGGAAATGTTGATTTATTGTATGAATTATAAGTATAGTATAAGATAATAAAGGTGAACTAAGGGCCAGGGCTATGCAAAGGGGCAGGGCGAATGGAGGGTGTCTTTCCTGTTACTGTTGCCAGCTTGGTGGGGGGGTGGGGTGGGGGGGGGGCAAAATCAACTAGTGTGTGAAGGGGGGCATTCCGCCCAGGCATTAAGATCAGGAGGGGGGGGTGGGTGCCAAAATAGTAAATTCTCCATATTTAGCCTATATATAATATAGGTAATCTCATGTTTTAATGTGTTTAAGCTGTATCTCCCCATGAGAAATGAAAATGAAACCCATTGTCAGTAGGATCAACAAAAAATCAAGCCTTTTCTGATAACTATTTAGTAACATTTGATTTTTAAAGTGACATTTAGTAAAAAATTTAAAATAAATGAATTGGTTTTCGATAACTTTAAATTCAACCAGATGTTTCATTTAAGAAGGACATCTCAATTTCAATAACAAAAGAAGTTTCCAAATAGATAACAAATGGTGCTGTGAATGACATAAGATTGCTGGCGCTTAAATATTTTTTCTAATACATATCCTTAAATGGTTTTTATATTAGATTATTAATAAGCATTCCACTATTTTCCTCTAGCATCTCTTTTGTTGCTCTCCGATTAACTGTAGAATGAGGAAAGGGTAAATTCAGGTAAGCATCAAAGTGCATCCCTGCATTTTAGATTTATCAAACATTTCTGGAGAGCGGCTCAATTAAGACTTACACAAAAACTAACAAAAACAAAAATGTTAAAGAAAATTTAAATCTAACCTATGGTGACCAGACAAGTTTACCCATGACAGTTCCTATTTATGCATCACCCATCCCAGCTTCCCTGAAAGGTCAGGAAATGTCCAGGCCTGTGGCATTTTCTTACAAACTGCCTACTTTTACCTAGACCCATTCTGATTCCAAGTCATTCTTTCTGCCCATCGTGATGTCAGACAGTTACTTGACCTTCTTCTGAGTCTGATGCCTACTGGTGGCTATTTTTTGCAGTATGGAAATGAAAGGAAGGCGGGGCCTAAGGTGGAAGAAGACAGATTGTCAGATGGCATCAGCCCTGCTTTGCCAATGCATTGGATGATGTTTCATCCAGATTCTTATTCTCTTACAAGTGATATGACAAATTTTGTCCTTGTACATTAGATTAGCCATTAGGCCATAGTCTATGCTATGCTCTCACCCTGATAAGGGCTGATTTACTCATCAATACTGCATTTGAGGTGAGCCGTTTTCACTTAGACTTAATTAATTTTGTACAACAAAATTGAAAGGTCTGACAATCTTGTTGGTTTTTTTTAACTTTAAGTTTAACTCTTTAAGTACTTATTGCTGTGCAAACTTTACTGTAGCCTGTACTCTGTAAATTACTTATAGCTGTGAAGCTGACAATATTAATTTACTAATAATGAATATTAGACACAGTCACAACAACACTTGGGGATGCTTGCCTGTTCCTTACACTTACAGCTGTATTTTACTTTGTTTTCCTTCAGAGTGCAGAGTGGCAATGCTTCAACTCTTGCCTGTTTGGAATTTGGTTTGTTTTTCCTTTCTTTGGAGTTGGAACATGCACATGTACATGGGATGCATCATCCTCAACTGAACTGTACATAATGAAATGAAGCTGTTCAAATGTTTTGTTTTTCTGTCACTGACACACTAGCAGTAGGTCAGTAGGTGCAAATGTGCCTTCAAAAAGTCTTACAGAGTTCTTCAGAAATACAAGTTGTGAAACAAAAGAAATTCAGTCAGTTGCTGTGGAAGGTACTATATTTCACAGTCAGTCACAAACACAGCTTCCATTCCATAGACTGTACCTCAAAGCTAATCCAAAAAATATTCAATGCAAAGTTTACTTGAGCAAGAACAAAGACAGAAACAATTTTTGTGAAAGTTATCTCACCTCTTACAATGAAGCATCTGAAAGATGAGCTGGAAAATGCAAACTTTGTGTCTTTGTTCATTGATGCATCCTATCATAATGAGATCAAGTTGTTTCCTATACTTTTTCGCTATTTTTTGCCATATATAGTAATTCAAGTAAAAATCTTTGAAAGATTTGCTCTGAGAAACAGCTGCTCTACAGCACAATTATATTATAGAAACACTGGAATCACATAAGCTGTCACAGAAACTTGTCACTTTCTGTGCCGGTAATGCCAATACAAATTTTGGTGGTGAAAAGTCAATGTATAATGCAAACTAAATGAAACACTCAGTCATAAAGTCCTTGGCATTACATGTGCACTACACATTTTTCACAATGCTATTCACTCAGCAGCATAGTGTCTCTCTGTAGATATAGAATCAGTTGTTTATTAGATATATATGTACTTTTACATATACTTTTCTAGTTGCTACCTTACAAGAATTCTATGATTTTGTTTCAATAGATTATGAAAAATTACTTAGCTACAGCAAAACCAGATGGCTAAATATCATGTTGGCTACAGCAAGATTATAAAAATATAACCTGGGCTGAAATACTACTTTCTCTCAGACTAATGCCCTGTCTTGCTACAAGCCTTTTTTTTTTGAAGATCCACCTGCAGAGCTGTAGTTAAATTTTGTACATACTCAGGCAGCATCAATTTAAGCAACTTTTCTGCAAATTGCAAAATCAGACTGCAATATGTGTTGAAGTGTACAGATCTTTGAAATACCTTAATGATAAAAGCGAGACAGGAGTTCACTCTCATAATATTTCTAAGTAAGTTGAAGGAGTTAGAAAAAGATATTAATCCCTAGAATTTCTATTCACAAATTATTGATTTTTATGAAACGAGTGCAAATTACTTGGACTGCTAAGGCAATCAATTTGAAGGGATTAGATAGTTTTGATTGGGTGCTTTTGAGATCACAACCATCATGGGAAGATGTTCGAAAGTGCATTGGTTCTGTGAATGACATATTTCCTGACAAGATAAATGACAATTAACTATTTGATGATCTCCAATATCCAAAGATATTTCACTGCAGAATAAGTTAACGAGTTGGCTACAGTAGAATTCCGTGTAGAGAAACAATGGATGAAAACCTTTCAGCACTTGGTGAACCGTTATGTTTCTTGTGAAAATTTGAAACTTATGGCAGATTTTGCATTATGTCTTACAGTGATAAATGCTCCTGCTGAAAGTGTATTTTCTCTGATTAAAAACATCTGTATAGGAGCTAAATCACAACTGAAACATATGCTTGTTGTCAAATGCAATGTCAATGATTCATTGTGACAAGTTTTATGATATGTTATTAAAAATCCTGATGTCCTGAGAGCTTCTCACTATTCTCAGAAATATTATTGTGACATGAGTATGAAATTAATAATTACAATTCACTTGTTGAGCCTTCATCTTTCTGAAATATCAGTTGTCAATTGCTTTTTATTTTTTAATGTCTATTGTTAGTAACTCACTGACAACTGCTTTTGCACATTGAAAAAGTGACATGTTCAATCTCAGCCTCAAAAAGTATTTACACATTACTCACAAAACACTTCTGGTACTTTCCTACTTTACTGTTCACAAATATTTTACTGCGATACCTGATTAACATAAGGTTTCCATACGTCCATAACATACAGTTGTCTATACAATGTACACTAATGAATTTGTTCTTTGCACTTCAGGAAAGCGTGTCTTTCAGTTGATATTAACAAACCATTTTTGTCTTCCCCGGGTCCCAGGTTAACCCCCAGTAAAATCTGGTCACGTGTCTAGCTAGAATCCTTAGTTAAAATGTATAATTTTGTGACATTTACTAAATATCTTCTCTCCTTTCTCTTTCAAAAAAGCTTTATTTTTATAACTTTTAAACTTAAATGTGCTCATTTCAAATACAGAAATGTCTGAGACAGACAAGATATGGACAAAGTCAGATGGCAATGATCCTGAAGAAATAAGAGTTGCTTTGGATCCAGAATTGATGAGCACAACTGATGCTGACATTTCCAATTTAAGGTGAAGCTTTAACATGAACCATCTCAAAATTACAATACACTTTTCATGTTTTAAAATTAATTAGCAGAGATGTATACCTCATTTAGTTTTAGTGTCGTGCTAATTTTATAATTTTAATTTTTTAAAATATTTTATCTGAGATTAAAAAATGTTAATACATTTGACTTTCATTCAACTGACTAAGCTTCTTACACATTTTATTGTAGAAAAAATTTTAATTGAATCAACAACAATAAATAATAGACCTATCAACTCTTTTTAGAAGCCCCCAGAATTTCATGAACGCTTCAAAATGAATTCTATTTTGAATCAAACCATATCCTTGAGTTATCCAAATGTTACGTGAATTAACTAATCAGTTTCATTTGTAAATGTTATTTATCTGGCACAATAAAATAATTTTGCTGCTCATCTGATTTTGAGATGCTTTAAAGATCTACCAATTTTTTAATATGTTTTGTCAAGTACTGGTATGCACTTATATTATTTCAAAGTTATTTTCGGTTCAAGTTTTTTCCAGTTTCAGAATATGACAATCAGAGTCATTCCTACCTTGATGAAAGTATTATTTTGTTCTTATTTACAATACCTCCAGCACATTTTTTTATTTTTACTAAGTGTGTTAAATTGCAGCTCTCCTTGAAAAATAATAAGTGTATTATATTGCAGCTCACCTCAAGAAATTGATACAAACTATGAACTATCTGAGCATCATGATGAGGATACAAGGGACTTGACTGAACCAAATACTCAGATAGAGGAGGGGAACCATCGCATCATTTTAGGTAGTCAACAATTTTTTTTAATGCTACTTAATTTATCAATGCTAAGTTTCTTCAGGCGACTACATAAAATTAATATAATATTGTATTCATGATTTAAAAAAAAAAATTTTGGCAGCCCCCCCCCCCCCCCATAGCTAATTACAGTAACTCCCTTACTTTCAGAAATACTTTTTAAAAATTATTATAAGGATATTATAAATCTTATAATTTGCATCATTGGCAGGTAAAATTCTAGCCTTGTAAAGACATAATATCAACACTAAAGATACTAAAAATTATATTATAATAAACTTACTTATTTGGATCTTTTCACATTGTTAAAATTATCTTTAATTTTTTTTTTCTAAAGATGAAGAGGTGCTCCTTCAAGCAGTTGTGCTTATCGAGGATGCATATAGTGTGAGTATTCATTAAAAAATGTTGAACTTGCTATAAGAATGTTATAGTTGTGTTTAATCATGGCTGCATCAAACACAGTTGAAGCAATGTATCGGTAACCATTGCTGAGTCCATGGAAATGGCTGAATATATCCTATTAATTATTAAAGAAAAGATAATAAAGATGAGCTCATGTAAGGAATGAAGAAGCCTTAAGATCAGGCGGAACACAGAGCCTTGAAACAATGGGTGCCATGGGCTCAATACACTTTGGTGGGGGCAGACTACATCTACCACAGCTAAAACCACAATACACTGGAGTTCACCAGAAGTATAGAGGTAACAATGAAGACTTTGAGAAAGGCATTTTAAAGGGTCCAGAATTTGGTTGCAATTAGCCTTGACAATGCTGAAAATGAAGTGTCAGACGACAGAGAAATTTAGAAATCATTTGTTGCTCATTGCACTATAAAATGTGGGAAGAACTAAGTATACATATCCTAATGGCAAGAAAAATAAGTATGGTGAAACATTGAAGAAACTAAAATCAAAATAGTGCCTTCCATAGCATATGTGTTAACTCACCCCGGCACGAAATGATTGTTTAAAACCTGGTTGAACCTGCAAATAGCACCATACATGCAAAAAAAGTACCACTTTTGTTTCTGTCCGAAGGGTTTGCCTTATTTCCAGGTTTCAGCGGTATAATTTTTTTCCCAATAATTTAGAATCTCCTAAATCAATCATATTTGTCATTTTGAAAAAAAAAAGGTTTCACTGGTGAAGTATTGCCTTCATATGGTATTTAATAAATAAATATGTAATCTATATTTTAGTATCGCACCATCAACCACAGACTTGGAGCAAATTACCTTCATGTCTACCGAAAGTACCAGTCCTTCCCAGTTGTTGTGTGAGTTTTGATACCATTTCTTTATTTTTATTTAATTTAAAGTTTTACCTCCTAAAAATCATATGTCTAACTCAGATTTTAATTATTTATTAATTGAAAACCTGATGCTGTTTACCATGTTATATCTATTTTAGAAAAGTTTATCCAGCAGGGTTGGGTAAAATTATTTAATTCTTGGGCAAGTAATAAAAGGTTATAAATGCAATGGATCCACAGACACATTTTTAAACTTAGTTAAGTTTTTAAACTCTCTGAAAATTGATAACATCAAATTTATTTTTCTTGGCCTATTTCAGATTTCGAATTACTGTAATCTTACTGTTGCATTTGCTAGCTTTTATAGAAGACCCATCATCACTTACTAAAACCTCTGACCTCCGAACTCAGGGGACCAGGGGATCGGTTCCTTGCTGGGTCACACAGTGCTTAGAACTGATTTGTTTGTCTCTGCTCCTAATCGACAACTTTCTTAGGGTAACAGAAAATATTAAAAAGATAATTTTTTATATGTAAAACTTGATTTTACCTAACACATAAGAAACATTTCTTGACCTCTTGACTTTTAGAAATGTTCTTGTCCCATAGTTGTTGTTTTTTTTTGTGGTTGTTTTTTGATGTTTTGTTGTTCTTTAAATAATGAGTCAATATGATGCATTGATGGTAGCTTTTTAGAAAAATGAAATAAAATTGTTAAATATTTATTAGGGGCTCGCCATTGATTAAATTAGATTCTTTTATGCTTAAAGAATTAATTACTGATGAGCTTTCTTGAATATTTGTACAAAGGCGTATCTGACAGGCTATCACTACTTTGTACGTCAAAAGTGGGACATGGCAGCTGTCGCAATCATAACCGTTTCTCTGCTTGACTGGGCGGTGTCATTCGGCATGAATTGTCACGAGGTAAGAAGCAACTTTTAGTTGTCACTTTTATTTGTATGGCTGCCCCACATGTTGTATTATGCTGTTAAACTAAAAAAAAAATGCTTAAAGCTTTCCTTATGTCTCTGATGTTAAAAACTTTCTACAACATTAGATCTTTTACCTGCTTTGAGTTTGCTTAGAAAAACGATTTGAAAAATATATTTTTGCAAATAGAAATGGCAGCTTTTAAAACTAATGTTTTTGTTTTGGTCATGGGTCAAAAATAACTTCATAGAGACCTTGAATTTTCTCCAGCCACTTAGATGTCGGCGTCTTCTTAGGCCATTCTTCATCCTTCAGAATTCATCCCTAATGAAAAAAATAGTCAGGTGTTTGAAGAGGACACTGCCAGAGGTCATAAGGTAATGTGATTTGAAATTTCTTCTTTGAATATTATAGAAATTATTGAAGAGTTTAAGGCTAAAGTCCATCATTAAATATTCACAGGATTATTTTACATTTAAAAAAAGTTGTTTTGTTAAAGACACTATAAATGAATTGATCAAAAACAAGATAAATAATTTATTCTTTGAAGATTTTATTTTTATTAAACATAAAAATAGACCTTACAGACAGCATCCATTAAAAATTATTTATTTTTTTTTTACAATCCTTCTTTTGTTCATATATGAACAAAACATTGAATTATTTTTTTTTAAATATGAAACTCTATCAATTTCATTTTAATACTCCAAACTGTTTGCTAGAGAATTACTTAACCTGTATTCCACAGTGTGTTGCTGTTGCTTGCCCTGCATATAATTGTGTTTACAATGTTTGCCATGCTGCTGTTTCCAATCTATGAGGTAGCTACTGCTTTATAAAACAGGCTTCTTCTTACCATCACCTTATGCGTCTGTTCTTTTCTGCTGAATTAGATGGATCTGCATCAATTTTAGCAAACAATCTAGGCAAAATGATGCTTAAAATTTAATTATCATCAAAAGAAAATGTCCTGCAGCTTCATTAACCATTTAACATCAAGTACTCAAATAACAGCAATGGTGCCATGAGACCTTTTTTTTCTTTTGGTGTAAACTTAGTTCAAGGATAGAACCATTGTGTGTTTGATGATGTGATTGTTTGTTACAGCAATTATTTAATGTATTTGATCCTGAAGACTTTAAAAAAGGAATAGTAAAAGGGGAAAAAATGGTGGGTGGGTGGGGTGTACTACGACTGAGCTATAAAACCAAATTTTGGAACTGAAATGTCAATTCTTCAATTGTTAGGTCAAGGAATCTAATGTGACTCATATCGCGTCAGGAAATGGATCTGACATACCAGCAACAACTCCAACAGTGAGTGGCCTTTTTTTTGTTTTTTTGGTTATTAGACATGCGTTCTGTACATTGAACTTGCCCTTATAAAGTTATCTCATTTGAAATACAATCTCTTTAATGGTACTGTTTTGTTATACTACTGCTACGTTACCTCTTTTTTCTTCTCCAGCCTGACGAGGGTATGAGATATTTTAATTCTCTTCTGGAATCATTTGTCAGCTTGCTGGTTCTATTGACAACAGCCAATCATCCTGATGGTACATAAACAATGCTTTTCCAGTTTTAGATATTAGTCCTATTTTTAAGCTGATGTATGTGACCAGCAGTTTGGTGCTTTGTAAAAACTAAACTCTGTATGTTGGAAATATAACTTATGTCAAGTCTATTACATTTCAGTTACTCTTCCTGCCTACAGTCGTAACAGATTTGCCTCCATTTTCTTCATAATTTATCTGCTCATTGGTAAGCCATTTTGATTTAGTGCATTGGTTAAAAGGAAATTATGGGACTCAAATAATGTGAGTCCTTACATATAACAATGCCTTTGGTGGTTTCTAATAACCCAATCAAGAGAACATTTTTTGTAGCATACATTTTGCTTTCATCTAATTTTAAACTCAATCCTCACCGAGACACAGAGAAAACAACAAACACCCCAGTTAAATTGAGAACCTTATATTTTTTTTATAAATAAAAATTTCATGGCCACAAAAAGGGACTTGACTCCTAGTTAAATAAAGGCTTGTGTAATTATTTAAGTATCTTCAAATTTTTTTATTTCTGTTTTAGTATTCATTAAAAGCTTTCAATAATTTAAGTTCTGTGTTCAGTTCACTAAAAGTTATAGTACAATACTTTATTATTTCAGGTCTCTATTTCCTTATGAACATGCTCCTGGCTGTCATTTACAACCAGTTCAGAGGTTACTTCCTTGTAAGGGATTCAATCAACTAATATTAATTTATATCCTTAAATTCTTCAACCTCTAGAATCTGATGTATTTAATGGTTGATTACTATTATTTAAAGTAGTTTTTTTTTTCCTTGGTTATAATTGTTTTTTTATTTTAAAAATATTTATTACCAGGTTATCCAAAGTTTTTTATCTATTAATTACTCACTTACCTTTATGAAATTTTAATTCTCAGAACTCGATGCAAAGCAGTCTACTAAGGAGACGCCTTGGAGTTCGAGCTGCCTTTGAAGTTATGAGAAGAAAGCGATATGGTGCCATTGGCCAAAACAAAAATCCTTTCTGTGACTTAGGGTAATGATGTTATGCTCATAGCCTGGAAGGGTAATGACGTTATGCTCATAGCGTGGAAGAAATAAGGTTAATTACCTGGTTTTTAAACAGCTGAAGCCATGGATTTAACAATTACAGTACCAGTGAAAGTTTTTTTAAAAACTTTTATATACAAATATACCTACATAGATTAACATACATATAAAATGTTTCTCTTTTTTTTATTGTTCAATTAGACTATTCAGCATGGCATGTATTTTTATTAAATTATAAAATTTTTTAAGACGTTTTCAAAAAAATTAATTTCTTCATGAGTTCTTTTAAAAAACAGAAAGAATAATTTCTAAGATAGATACCTGTAAAGAGAACTAAATGCATTTGTTATAACTTTATTTTCAAAATTCAACAGTAAAACAGCTTTACTAGATTTGATAACAAATGTTGACTGCAAACCCTAAGATTATAAGTCAGCATGTTCTTTTTAACTTAGATTGCTGTTAATACTTTCCCCAGGGCTGGCATTAGCGGCAGTGTCATTAAAAGCCTTATTGAGAGGAGTTTGCTCCCACAACATGTACGCAGCTCCCTACTAGAGGTATGTATGGTATTTTTGTTCACAATATTTACCAATGATTAATGGGCTTGTGATGTAAATGCTGACATTTTTCTATTTGATTTTGTTGAGATCACATTAACTGGCATACTGATTCATTTTGTTTACATTTCTTTAATGCATAGAAAATAAAAGATGGTGAGAACCAAATTTTCTCTGCCAGCCAGTTTAACTACATCTTTCTCAGCCTTGATAATGATGTTGTTCACAAACAGGTCGGTCCACTATGAAACCACAATTTACTTGCACTTTGTTAAAACTAAACCAATATATTATGTTTTTGCTAAAGTGAAATTTGAACTCAAATCAGACAACCTTATTCTGTCATTAAGTACTTGGATATAAAAAATCTGCTCCGAACAAAATAATTTTTGTAAAAATTTAATGTAGTGAAATGCTTAAAAGGAAAAAAAAAATCAATCAATTATAATATAAGGTTCTAGGAAAAATATAATAACAGTTTTCTCTTCAATTCTCTCAGCTGCCAGCTGTACGATGGTTTACTCATCGAAAATGGAGGATGATCCAACGGATTTTAGTGCACAAATATTTCACTTACTTTGGCATGTTGATGGCATTCACTAATCTGATTATTATCACAGTAAGTAACATCATTGTCTCAGAATTATATATTTTGTAAGCTTTGATGCTTCCTATAAAAATGTATTTAAATTAGAATAACCCTCTCTGTTCGACAGATTCAACTAGGGGCCAAGTACGACAGTTCATTTAGAGAAAATCACTCAACATTGCGAGTGAGTAGCTTTGTTATTTTAAAAAACAACACAGAATTTTTATTAATACAATTTCTTAGTTTTCTGTTACCCCCTTTCACACACCACCCTCCCCCATATATAGCTTTTTAAAAATGCCTTAGCATCTTTTTAAGACTTTGTAGAAACAATCTTAATTTAACCAGCATTAGTAATAGTAAATTTTAATATAAGTAAAAGCAAGAAAAATACTATTGATATTCACTATAAGATATTCATCTATGTATAAGATATATAAATTATCTGACCTGTTACTTATTTTTAAAATAGTTTGGCCCGTTTACAATTCTCTTACATGTGGTATATTACAGATTGTCAACTTCACTTTTGTGATGTATTACATGATAGAGCAAGCTGTCAAAGTCTGGGCTTTTGGTTGGCGTAGGTACCTGGCAGACTTGGGCAATATCTATGACGCAGTCATCACTGTGGCTTTAGTCGTAAGTTATTGGTGCTTTGGGCATTCTTTTTAATTCTGTTGTACAAAATTCTGTTTAAAATATCACAGTAGAATAGCAGCTCTAGATTAGGAAAAAAGATGAGTTCTAATATAATAAATGCATTTATTCCAGATTGGTGAGACAGTCTCAGCTTCACTTTATGGTATCCCATACTTTCCAAGGTCAGTTTTTGCTGCGATTTTTTATGTGTATGATCAATAAGTAAATGAATTTCTAATTTATTAGGAAAAAAAACTAAATGTCAACATTGACTTTAAGTTTGAGAATAAAAACTATCAAACTATTATTTCCTTGATTGAAATTCAAATTGCATTGATTCCATGTTATACGATATTAAAAGAAACTGCCATCAAGCTGTTTATAAGCAAATATGAAGCACATATAATGGGAAAACCTGAGAAGACTCTCCTTTACTGTGTGCTAAATATTGTCCTATATAATAAGAATTATGTAGTTTTTGACTGAACTATTCCAACCAATTCTTAGCTCTAAAGAGATGATTGCTGGCAGCTCCAGCACTACCATGTGGAACATTCTCAGACTGGTGAATGTTCTCATCATTGTGCGCCTCTTCAAGGCCATCCCACACATCAGGGTAAGACATGCAAGTAAAAATAATTGGAGGGATTTCTCCTTTGCAAAAATTATTGTTAAAAAGTTTTAAAAAGAAAAGATTATGCTTTTTTTTTTTTTTTAAGCAATTTTCAATATTTGCCTTGCCTACTTAAGGGTACTCGTATATTTGATTTACGAATATATGTTTCTTTACGAAGTCTTACTTTGTCTATACTATATACTAGTATATTTTTATAATTTAATATCAAGTAAAAATAATTGGAGGGATTTCTCCTTTGCAAAAATTATTGTTAAAAAGTTTTAAAAAGAAAAGATTATGCTTTTTTTTTTTTTTTTAAGCAATTTTCAATATTTGCCTTGCCTACTTAAGGGTACTCGTATATTTGATTTACGAATATATGTTTCTTTAAGAAGGCTTACTTTGGCTATACTATATACCAGTACATTGGTATAATTTAATAAATGTGTAAATCCTACAAGAAAAAAAGCACCTTTAATTAGAGTTAAAAAATTTGAATTAAATAATTAATACCCAGTATTACACAGCTACTCTTACAAATATCCTTATGGCTAAAAAGTATAAATGCTGAGATGATGTTGAGCTTCTAAGTATCAGTTCTGAACACTGAGAAAGAATAATACATATAGTTCATCAACTATGTCTTCCATGAACGTGAATAATTTTTTGTTTAAAACCATTTAATATTTGCTAAGTTAGGTAACATAGATAAACTAAGCTTTCTCTTTCATTAGTCAATGTCTCTCATTGTCATGGTGTTAGTGGACTTGTTACGCAACATGAAGGCGTTTGCTGGAATCTTAGTGGTAAGTAATTAAGGCATGTCTGATATTCACCAGAGAAATACATATTATAATACATATATAACGGTACATTATTATAATAATAACAAATCTTTAAAAAATATTACAAAGTACTAGAAATTTTGTGGTCTATTAAATTTAACATTAAAATATAAATTTAAAAAAACAAGAGTACAATACCAAAAACTCATTTAATTATGCCTTTAAAAAGTCTTAAATATGTAGACTCATTGTAAGTTAACACATGTTTAATATCTATATTTTATTTATTCATGCAGGCCATATATTATGTGTTTGCAATATTTGGCATGCAGTTGTTTCAAGGAAAAATTAAGTATGAGCCAGAATTTGCCAACAAGTATGTATACATAAAATTGTGTCTTAAATGTTTCTAAACATCTGTGTAGTTACGTTTTTTACTTTTACTCTCATTATCTTGTTTGTCCATGTGTTGCAATGAGGTAATCCTGTAGCTTCAGCTAAATGGACTCACCAACCACAACCATTATTTTATTACAGAACATTCCCTTGTGGCACTTATGAGCAGATGAACTACTGGCCCAACAATTTTGATGATTTTTTTGTAAGTCCTTTAAAATTCAATTGTCAATATATTTTTTTTTCAAATCCATCCAATTCATCCTTTGTTGGTCCTTATATTTTCCAGAGAACCTTGAAAAGCAATATGTCAATTAAATAAATATTTTTTTCTCTTTTTAACCCAATAATTTTTCACTCGCTTAACAAAAGGTTTGGGTTTTTTTTTTCTAGTCGTCAATTGTTGTGTTATGGGATGTGATGGTTGTCAACAATTGGATGGTGTTCCTACAAGTTTACAGAGACAAGACTTCACCGTAAGTGGAACATGTTGACAAATTAGTGAACATTATATGTATTTCAATTTTTTTAAATTAGGAAAAATTATAATATCTGCTATTGTTTTACATATTTTTGAAACATATTTAATGTAATTTCTGATAAATTCAAATGAATAAATGACCCCCTTACAAACTTAGTTCTTTAGCTTAACCTCATCTGCTACAAATTCTTAAAAGTGAATATTAGTTCTGTTTCTAATTAATTTGACAGATTTTTCAAACAATAATGTGCTACTGCTAACCTAATTAATTTGTTACAGTTGGTCGTACCTGTATTTTGTGGCCTGGTGGCTTTTATCTGTCATCATTGTTCTGAACCTCTTTACAGCTCTTATTATGGAGGTAGTGAATTATATCTAGCACAATTAATATTTTTTATCCTTATGTTCCCATTTTGAAAAGTTACATATGTAAACAATTGCTAAAAAAAAATCATACAAAATTTAATCTGCTGCCAAATATATTCTCCTTGTCAGTCTTGAATAACAGTTTGTAATTCTCAAACCTTTTCATATTAAGAACTTCATAATGAAGTGGGACAGACGACGTCAAATGAGTGAGACCGACTCAGTGGGAGCAAACACCTATGAACATCTAACCATTTCAGTTCATCACAGCAATGTTCATTCAATGTTCAAGTAAGTTATTTTAAAGTACTTTAAAACCTAAAATATTGCAAATATTTTAAGAGTACCGTGCCAGTGCTATATATATTAGGACCAAAAAAAAAACAATCAGAAATCTCTGCAGGGTGAGTTTGTTATATTTTATTTATATTGTATTAGTACTGGTTTTTTTTATTACTGGTAAAATGAGGGAGGGTACAAGTGCAAATAACAGGTAATTCCCATAGTCACAGGTGGATGAAAGTGATATAAGCAAATTATAGTGATGGATGTTAGTGACAGGTACACAACCAGTCGAAACAAAAACTTTCTAGTTGTTTCTCATTGCAGTAGATCACTTTCAATATGGTTTGTTTTTATCTTTCTTAGAGATGTGTTGGAAGAACCTACTGAGAATGAATTGCTGTCATCACTTAGAGCTCATAGATACCTGAAACTGGACAGGTGATGGTGTTTGTTCAGTAAAATTTTGGCATTAACGTCAAAGATTCTTAAACTGTGTTACATGTAGCACTGGGGGAGCGTCACTCTGTTTGAGGTGGTTCTCACTCAGAGATGAAAAATATAAATAAATACAAATTTTCAGTCCAAATAAACTTTGCACATGGTGGTGCAAAATTTTTAGAAGATTATTTTAGTGATATTTTAAATTTTTAGAAGCCCCCTGAATTAGATAGTGATATCAGCTAGATCACCCTTTATAATTAACTTATTTCTTCTGTGTCGTACATGTAGACACCAGAGGGTTTTTATTAAAATATAAAATAACTATGTTAAAAGGTAAAGCAAATTTTTTACAGCAAATAATTTGGGATATCTCATCTCATGATTGGATGCCAAACCAGATTTAAAATTAATAAAATAATTTTGATACATGTACTATTTAGTGAACTATTTAGTAAATGTTTACTTTTAAAGAAAAGAACAAATAAAATGACATGTAAATGAGGTATATTACATTTCCTGTGTCCCAAGACATTATATTGATGGCAGTTCTAAGTTTTTCACATTTGAACTAAAAGGGTTATTGTCATGAAGCTCTACATTCTTAGTTTGTTCCTAGTAAACAGTTTCTCAAAATATTCCAAGCTACGTTTTTGAATTGAAAGTTAACACCCGAGTCATGAAATTGCTTCTTAAAAATAAGAGGATATATAAAGAAGCACAAAATCATATAAATAAGCACAAAATAAACTATGGCTCATTGATTTACCAAATTATTTGAAAATTATTATGTCATTGCTTCTGCATTGTTCCTTTCAACTTTCTTCCTGAAGTGGCCCTCCCTGTGACACAGAGTTTGTTCCCCTTTTGAATTAATGGACTGAGTCTTAGAAATGAATACGGAAAGTCATCATGGCTCTTTAATTATGATATTTATGTTACCCCTCTGTTTATGCTACTTGCTGTGCACTGATGTTTGATATTCTGTTCCATTTTCCAAAGTTATTTATGACTCCATGATATTTCAAGATACTAGTATTAAATTTTTATGGAGAAAACTATCATACTAAATACCGGTATTCGGTTTAGCTCTTGTCAAAGCCATCTAGTGTGTTTTAAAAATATTATAAAACATTTGTTGGAGACAAATTTTTAAAATACAATGATATTAAATTTATCACAATACTATTTTGATACTCATATACAAATATATAATATATGCTATTGATGTGACCTATGTATTTGCTATTCTAGTTTCTAATAAGATTTTTAAAAGGTAGGCAAACATTTTTATGTTCATTGTGTATCTTGCTTAAGCAATCATGACACGAAATGTGAGTCTCATCTTGACAATATTATAATTATTTTCTTGTGACGTTACCATCCCTTGTTAAACTAGGACTTGATATTAAATATGGTACACAAGCTTAAGATAATGCAATAGGTTGTGAAATTCAAATGAGTCAGGGGGAAAAAAATCTTTTAATGTGAATATTTCCAATGGAAAATAAAATCTCTTAATGAATGTGAATATTTGCAATGGAAAATAAAACCTTTTAAAGTGAATATTTGCAATGGGTTTTGTGGCTCAACTGCCGGGTATAATAGGGTATATTTGAGTTAACAAAACTCTAATTCTGCCATTATCCTTGATAACTTTGATTTTTATCAGCTTAATGTGTATACTTTGCTTGTAAATATTCAGTGGTGCTATCAAAATATTGTTACAACTGAAGTGGAAGTTTTATACTTCTTTTTAATTCTTTTTGGAATTAATCACTTTTAAAAATCATTTAAAATGTTAAAAAAATTTTTAATCTGTTTTAATTTTTCTTAGTCATATAATTTATATATATCTATCTATTATACTCTACAAATTTGTGTCACAAAAGTGATGTTTTTTCCAAATGATTTTTACGCTATAGCAACATTACACTTGTTTCTATTATAATCAAGTATTTTACATATTATTTTTTTCAAAATCAACATTATATATCAACTGTTACTTCTATACTCCAGTGTGTTTAACTGTTACTTCTATACTCCAGTGTGTTTATAATAAATTTTATTGATGATACAGGGTTGGAGCTTTAAATGTTATTTTTCTGTAACATATATACAAAGTCTGTAAGACTTTTAGTTTAGTCTGGGCATATATTATTTTCCATATTTTGAAGTACAAGAGTGGAAATAATATGTAAATATTTGATTTGCTTTTTTTTTTTTTATTAGCAACTGTGATAAGGTGTAACACTGTAGTACCAGGTCTTTATAGTTGGCACATATAATTTTATCCAATATTCTATATTGTTGATCTTGAAAAGAAATACATTTCAATGTCAGATAAAATGTATGTATTGTTTTTTCTTCTGTACATCAAAGAAATGTCAGTGATGTCATCAGGATAGATGCATAAGGATTTATGGCAGTGTTGTCCAACCTTTTTGACTCGGTGGGACAAAAAAAAATTTTCTGCGAAACCATAGGCCGCACATGACGTCTTAATAGAATTTTTCGAAAATTATTCACATTAATACTTCTTACATTATCCATAAACAATCATATATACAATGACATTATTGGCTCTTCAAAAATATAAATAAAGCGAACAAAAACAGTGGCAATAATTTATTGATATATATCATATTTGGCTTTGAATTGTACTTAATTGTTTCATAATTTGAGGCCGTTTTCAGTAGCACTTGGTCTCATTAGATCTTCTAAATCAGCGGTTTCAACCTGTGGGTCGCGACCCCTTTGGGGGTCGCGGGACCCTTTTCCAGGGGTCGCCCAATACCATCTGAAAACACATACCTTACAGCTGTGAAGTAGCAACTACGAAAATAATTGTGTAGCTGGGGGTCGCCATGACACGAGAAACTGTATTATAGGGTCCCGGCACTAGGAAGGTTGAGAACCACTGTTCTAAATGTTCACCAGTCAAAGCGTAATATTTTCTGGACTTAATATTAGTCTTTACATATAATCCAGTTTCACTTACGTAGGTGCTTCCAAAGACACTGTCAATTTTTTGTTGCAACAGTAGAAATTCATCAGATGAAACATACATCATCCAGAATTCATTTGACAATGCATTCTCATATTTGTTTATTAAAAAATATGTTCAAGAATAGTTCCGACTGTCTCTCACAATTCCTACCTGACCAAATTGCACTAACTAAAAATAAACACAGATTGTATCCTGCTTTCTATTTATTGAACGTCTCAGTCTCTGAATACCAGGTTCTTGTCCCTAACATTACAATATTACAGTATGGACACACTCTCTCCCATACCTGACTAGACTACCTGTTTAAATATCATGGCTCCCTAGTCTGCTCACACACTGTAGTCATTTTTGACACCTTTAATATCCCAACTCCCATCTCAATTACTCTGATGGCCAAGACTTTCCTGTCATATTATTATCTTCATAAAAAGGGCAGTTGGTGGGGGCATTGACATTTTTAGGGTGACCTAATAGCTACAAGTCAAGTTCTTTTGATCTCCCTATTCATCTTTCTCAACGCTGCCGTTAGTAATTATAAATTATACCCTATAACCCGTGACCCCTTCCCTGTACAAGCAACAGTAAAAAAAAAAGGAGAAGACAGAATCAAATTTCATGTCTCCCCATGTTACTGAATGGTTGCTCCACTAATTACTGCTACCTATCGGGCACCACTTCTTAGATTTTCTTACCTCCCCCTTTTCCATGTTACAACTTCTCCCGTGCTCTCACGCCATTTCCCAACAATACTGAATCAATGAATGTCGTTTGAAAATATGTTCACCATGAAATTTTTCATTTTTTACACACATTATAAAAACTTCTTAAAATCAGTTAGCGGGCCGCGGGGTTGGACAGCACTGATATGAGTAAAAAGATCACAAAATATGTTAAAACCACAAATGACTTTTATTGTTTTTGTAAGCATAAGTGGTTACAACTTGAACAAAGTTTTTGATGAATTAACAATTGGTGGTTGTCTTCTTAGTTGAGTAAAGTTACAAAATTGTAATTGTTCAAATAAAGCATTCATTACTGCACCATCGCCATCAAAACCCCAACAACGTCAAGTTAGAATTCGTCAGTAACTTAAGTGGAATCATTTAAATCCTTGTGCCGTTGCAAAAAGTTTCATTAAAAAATTGTAAGCCTTAGATGACAATCACACAAACGTTCAAATCAAATCGATCACATTTTTCATCCACATTTTGTATAATCAGATTTCCCAATGGAGAACACATTCAGACTGTCACACCAAACTTTTTACATTTATATACAAGGAAACAGTTGTGTATTTACACAATGCTTCACAAAGTTGAAACCAAGGTAGGTTTAAGTTCATAACTGAACAGTCATGGTATCACAAGACAACTACATGTAATTTCTATATGAGGGGAACAAAACATATTTACTAGTTGCTATCTTCAATAACCCATCTCCCAACACATAATCAAAAATACATTGCATGCTTGTATTTTTGTGCTGGATAAGAAACTAAAGTGGGAAGGTGTCAGACTTCACACAGAGAGAGCTTTGAAATAATTTCTTATCCCACCATGTTGCAACATGCACAAGGACTTTTGAAATGTGTTGAAATGTCAAATACAATAACAAAATGGCTTCAAGAAAAACACAAATAAATGCAGTGAACAAATAAGATGAGTCAAACAATGCCTTCTAACAAGATGAGCCGATTCCTTCTAATAAGATGCCTCAAACAATTCCTTCTAAGTGATCAGACTGAATGACATTTGAAGAAATTTTTAAAAAAATCAGTTTTACACATTAAGACTACCCGGTACTACAACTTGATACTGTTGCTTTGTTGTTTTTACACACATTAAAAAAAAATGGAACAGAGCAGGACATGTGAAATTGAATACATTATTTGTGCAAACTTTATAAGAGTAGAAAAAAACTTATCTTGGAAATTTTTTACTTCATCAACTCTGTATTGCTTGGACATTTGATGATAAAATATATATGAACAAACAAAGACATAACGGTGTTTCACTAAACAAAAGCACTTATTAAATTTTTTCACTGTGTTAAAATATGCATTTGAGGTTTTGTCATATGAAATTGTAAAAATATACATATCTTTTTAACAGATACACACAATTTCAATCAATAAACTTACACATTTCTACATGCAAAGGCACATGGTTGAGGAAATGTCTGCTCAAATTATTGATCAAGCAAATTTTTAAAAATGCAGCATTCTCTGAGATATGTCAAGACAGAAATTTTTATGTCCTTCCTGATATGACTTCAGACAAGAACTTTTTTATTCTTCATGACTAGTTAAGAAGCTTGAATACCGGTACCTTAAAAACTGGTATTTATATTATTTTGTAATGTAATTCTTTAGTATGCAGTTTTTGGTTAATTTCAGTGTTGACCGAGCCCTTCTTCATGAACCTCTGCACAAACTGAATATGCTAATTTGCACCGCAAAGTTTTTAAAATATGTAAACAGTATAAGTATTATTTAACTGGCCTTGAAAGACTTTTGGGCGCAGAGCTCTAGGTTAACTACTTTGACTTCAAACCATACACATTTAAGACTTAATTTCAATGTCAATATATTGACTTATATATTCCAATACAATAGGTTAACACTGCTAAACATGTATACAATATTATGACCATTATTCTGACATGGCTCAAAGAACCTAGCTTGTTCATGAGTTTAAGTCCTCTACTTAACATCAATTTTAACTCTTTGCCCATCAATACTTTGGTTGGCTTTGTACTTCGAAGAATTAAAAAAAATAACCTAAATATTTTGTAATCTATTTTGGTAACAGAAATCAGAATGAGATTCAGTCAGTCATTGACAAAAAAGTGTAATTTATGATATATCGACATAGAATTTTGAAAATTACTATTACCAATTAAAACCAGAAGAAAGGTTCTGCATAGCTGTGTCAGAAATGTGCATACAAAAGGACTGATGAGGGCAAAGTTTATTAGAAATCTTGGATATATGTTTGATGAATGAGACAACTTACAAAAACATTTTTTTGTGTTTGTTGTTTTTGTTTTTTTAAATAATTGCACCTTTTTATGCTGCTATACAATTTTTGTGTTGTTTTTTTTCCTGAAGAAATAGAAATATGCATAACATTCACCAATCATACACCTAAAAAAAGAAAAGTAGTTTTATTTTCAGACTAAACAAGAAAATAATTGTTAAAATGGATTTAAACCTCCAGAAATGAAATTAATGAAACCATTTAAAATCAACTACACTAGAAAACAAAAAAACAAATACGACAACTTGAAATAGGAAGTTTGGCGCAACTGAATGGTGCAGTAACGTTAGCAATAAATTAAGAAAACAAAGCATTCTTTTGCTCTGATCTGTCATTAAAGGCAATAGGACCAATGCCATATTTTAAAACTTTCAGCAAAATAAACTGGACAAACAGAATGCAGAATATAATTTTTTTTTTTAAAGTTGTATCCACTAGACTTCTGGTTTAAGTGAACAAAAAATATTTAAAATCAAACCTAAAAGAATGTATTAATTTCAAATAAAAAGTAATTCTATTGTAATAGGGATTGCTCCTTTTAATTAATCAATCATCAAAATAACCTGGTTACTAATATTTTTTTTAAAACATTTCAATATGGCTCATCCCTTATTTCTTTGTACCTTAAAATCCAATACAAAAAGTGTAATAATTATCACATTAGAAATGAGTGGCACAGACACATAAAAGTCAAAGCAAAACTAAAGCAAGGCACAGGCTTCCTTCTCTACTTCATAACGCTAACTTTAATTTGGATGTCCCATTAAAATAGAAAATTGGCAAAGGTGGAGTTATTATATATGGTACCCAACAAATTAGAAAACCTAAAATGAAGGGGGGGAAAGTGGAGAGAGATGAGAATGGGCATTTAAATTATTCACCAGTAGAAAAAAATGTTTCCTTAATAAAAAAATATTATTTAAATAGCTTTTGCATAGATTTGAGTAATGCCTTTAATTAAGTAAAAAAAAGTCAAAACATGATTGAAATGGTGGTTCTTAAGAAAATTCACTTCTAGCTGCTTTGGGTGACAAAAATATCTTTCTCATTTGATAATTAGAATGTACAAGGTGATGATCAGGCTGTAAAATAATGTGGCTTTACAATCATGGGATAACTGATAAAATATAAGCAGTATATTTTATAATTTGTTCCTCATCTTAAAGAAAACACACTTCAATCTATCTCTCTTAATTTTTTTAAAGAAAAAAATATTAACACAAACAGCTTTTGCAGTTTCGCTCATTTCGATGTCATGATACATGACAGAATTATTCATTATAAATTAATTTCCAGTTAATGTGGGGTTGGGTGAACAGGGACCTTTCTTGTTTAAATTTAAAAAATCCACCCCTACATAGCCATTTAAAGCATTAAAAAAAGCAGTGACTACCACCTTCAACCAGGTTTCATGAAATCGGTGGTTTCCACAGAGTTCGAGCCTGGAATCCCTTGCTGGTGTCTGGCCCTCGTGGGTTGCGAACAATGATTACCTTGTAAGAGCTGTTATCCTCCGTAATACTTTTTAAACGGCTAAGAAGACGCTCGGGCCTACGAGTGTCACTGATAAAGAAAAAAAATGTTCAACTTTGAAAGTATAGCAAGTTTTTTTTCTAAAAGCAAATAGGAATTATGACTGTTATTGAAAACAGAAAACACTGAACAGTCACAAACATATATTTTATTTTCAAGTAAATGCCCTACACACTAAAAGACCGGTAAATTAATAGTAAAATAAAATAACAAGCTAGAACCGCAACTTTCTAAATGCCAGAGTGACCAAACTGGCCCATGTAGTTCCAGTAACTTACGTGATCTTGCGCAAACTGCAGGCTGAGTACTTTCCATTCCTCTGATTCTGGACAAGGACAAATTCTACTTCATCTCCGGGCTGAATAACAGCACTGTCATGAACCTCTGAAATGTGGAAGAAAAGCTTCTTACCCTCCTCCGCTTCATAATTGATGAACCCAAACTGCAATTAGAAAAGAAGACTCAATCACAGGTGTTTTACAATTTTGAGAAAAAATTTAAGTATGATAAAATATGAAACCCTCCCCAGAACAAGCAATGAAAGTACCTGGCCTTTGACAGAGTCGACTTTTGCTCTGATAAACTTGCGCAGAGCCCCAATGTTGATAGCTCGCAGGGCACCGTCCTTTTTAGTTCGTGCCACCTGAAACCTGACAACATCATCTTTTTGGAGAAAGTCTCTTTTATCAGCAAGACTGGTGATGCCATAAGGATATGGCTCATCCATATCATTGCCATCTGAAACAATTAAGGAGACATGTTTTATCAGTGTTAATTTTACAGGTTAAATAGTCAGGTTTTTTTAATTCTGTCTTTTGAGAGAACAGGAGTAATTTAATACTATATTTTACAATGATTTTTAGCAATCTGTTTCTTTCTTTTCACTTTTTGATTCTGTTGGGTAAGATGCTTTTTCTATATTTTGAGGGCCCATGATCAATGTATTGATCATTCTGGCTTCTAAGCTATATTACTTCAAATTTAAATTCATTACTTTTTTTATCTGATGAAATCCAGACGCAAAATGATTTAAATTGTACGGCCATTTCATTAAAGCTTCACCAAATTCTCACATACACATGGGTCTTTTCATTTAAGAAATCTATACCAGAGCCCCATCAAAATAAATTCCCAAAATATAGCAATGATAGACTTTACAAAAGATGTTTATTGTGCCCGTAGATTTAACTCACAAACTGTTTGTTGTGCAGGCAATTTAGAGCTGTTAAAAGGTGATTTTTTAAATGCAAGTACTATAGCTAGACCCCTTAAAGTATGTATTTATTGACATTAGACTGAGTGGGGAATCATAATGGCTATTTTGTTAACGCTATTTTTTACTCTGCGACCGTGACCTTGGAGTGGCCAAGAATAAAGAAAATAATGAAAAGTTTTCTTTTCAAGTACCTCAAACAACAAAACAATTTTTTAAGGGAATATTATTATAATGTTTATATGATAGCATTTTTATTTATCTTTCAGAAAATGTATTATTTGTATATGTTTTAGTCATTAATAGATTTTTTTTTTAAATTCTTCAGATACCTATAATTATGTTTAAGTAACAAAGCATGACATAAACAATATTGATTGATTGATTGCATATTTATATTTAAATCTATTTAAACAGAAAAGTTTTAAAATGTTTCTTAAATGATTTTTTATCATTTTCAATTCCCCTCAAAGATTGAGGCAAACTGTTCCATAATTTTGACTCAATCGCTTCAAAAGAGCGCACTCCGTAAGACTTTTTTCTGTGTTCATCCACACTGGGAATTTTCAGTAAGGACTGTATTGAAGACCGCAGGTTCTTTAAGGACACATGTTTATAAATCAGTTCTTAAAGATATTCCGGTGCAGAGCCTACTATGCAGCTGTATGGCAGGGACAGAATTTTGTAATTAATGCGCTCACTCACATTACTAAATAGCAAGAAACAGATAAAATTTAAAAAGCTTCTATTTAAATATTTAATCCATAAAGTGAAATATAAATAAGCATATATAGAACAACATCATTTTTTTTTGTTGGTACACAATCATCTGCAACGCAGTTTTCAACGAATCCTGTTGTTGCGGCAATGCCTACTCGTTCTAGGCCTAGGTCTAAATTGTCAGAGTCCGAACTTTCGCTTTCTGACCCACTAGAAAAATAATCAGAATTATCATTGTCTTCGTTTGTGATAGGAAAATAATCTTCCGAATCATTTAAGTCATTAACTAAAATGTTATCAAAAAGATTCCTAACTGATTTATTTTGTAAGCCAGATGGTCCAGCTATGGCCACATCCATTTCGCGAAAATCTGCGTACACAAATTTGCTTGTTAAAGATCGTTGTAAAAATAACTCCAAAGTTTAAAAAAAGACACAGAAGAGTAAAAAACTGAAGTTTATATATTAATAAAAGGAAGTAGTTTTATTGAGTGTAAAATATTGGACTGGAAGTTGTTCTCTCAATGCAATTTTTATTGGCCAACACTGTACAGGAAGAGAAAATCCACCGACCTCAGTTCGTGGGTTAAATAGAATTAACAGATATAGCATGACTACAAAAAAAAGACCATACCATCATCCATAGCTTGGACCAATCCACAGTATTCCTCTTGCTCTGTGTTAACTATTCTCATGGGACGGATTATACGACCTTGAAGTGTGCCCTTTTCTCTAAAAATCTCCTATAAATAATAAGTGAAAACATTTGTATTTTTCAAATAAATTGATTAAAATGATTTTGTAATCTTTAACAGAAGGATAAATTTGATTGTTTACCAAAACATGCATATGTTTAAGTCTTTAATCATTATTAATTTATTACTAACATCAGGTGGAATGGTGCCTTTGTTTAGTTTACGAATATTTTCAGCGCTGACTTTAGTGGTTTTTCTGGCCACTGTGTATTCCACTTCGTCTCCAAGTTCAAGATCATTGGTGTCACCAGTAAATGAGCTGTGGAAAAAAAGGTGTAAAGCTGTAATGTTCATCAATGTTATAATGACCTAACTTTGCATAATATCAGGATAATGCTTCTGTTAAAATACCACACAGGTATAAAGGGATGTAACTGTAACATCGTTGTCCATAAGAAAGGAAATCTTGCAGTCTTTAAATACAGTTGAAATAACTCAAGAATAGGCTTGTGATCACTAGTTGAAGAATTTTGCAAGAAATCTACTGGACAGCTGATTGTGTTTGCATTTTTTCTTAAATAAAATATTTAAATTTAATTATTTAAAATGTTCCAGTTGAAATACTATTAATATTATAGTTCTTTTTTTTTTTCAACCCACCTGAAGTGGAAAAACACTTCCTTTTCATGGTCTGCGGTTTCAATGAAACCATAATTTTCCTTTAAAGTTGCAATGAAACCATGGCAACGACCAGCAATATTCCTTAGCACCACATGAACTTTAACTGCTTGCTTTTTGGAAGTTGCCTTCAGTTCTCCAATTTGAAAATCCACCTTTAGTTATGAAAAATATAGAAGTCACTTGACATATTAACTATACATACAAATAATTCAGCAACTAAATAAACTATTATATGGTTAACCCTTTACAGTCCAAGCCTATTCAGCCTTTTCTACTCCCAGCCCCCAAGCAAGGGGACATAACTCCATTTTAAATGAAGGTTTTTTATCTAATCTAATAAATTTACAGAAAATAAACTAGAAGCAAGAAAATAAAATTAAAAATACCTAAATACAAATAAATAATTTAAGCAAAATTTGCACAGTTTCGGGGACCTCCCACTTTGATTAGTGAAAAATTCCCCGACCACTCGAGATCATGCTGATCAGTTTGAGTGGAATTGATAGGTCCATTGTCATCGATGTCTCTACTATAACAGACCTGCTTACCCTCAAACTCTTAAAATCGTACAATATCATGACAAAATCGTTTAATACATTATCTTAATAGTAAAAAATAAATATACAGTATATATAATGTATACGCCTCAAAATCGTACATTGTACGCCAAAATCGTAAGAGTAAACAGGTCTGCTATTACTATTATCTTCTTCACTTGAATCACTATCACTGGTAGCGTCATTTAAATTAATGTCTATATCAGATTCTTCACTAGCGCTGCTAGACTCATGAAATAGTGAAGCTTCATTAGGCCTAAGTTCTTTCAAAATTTTATCCAAGGCTTGGAAAGCCATTTTTTTACAGCGAAAAAATCTCAACTTAAAAAACAATCGTAGAAAATGAGCCCCTAAACACACCAGGTTCAAACTAGTATCAAAATAAATGCAGACAACTGGGCTTTCTTCCGGTACAACTATAAATAGTAATGCGCAATGCATTTCCGCTGTGCTAAGAACGAAAGTAAACAACCTCAAAACGGGCGGGTTTAGCCGCAACGGACTGTAGGCTGAAGGAAAAAATCTTTAACTATAGAGATTATTTAATGCTAATAATGTTCTAGTAAGATGAGAAAATTTTCATACCTTGTCACCAAAATGAGGCAAACTATTTTGGTCTTTAACATCTTTTAGATAGTAAGGAATCTGTTGTATTGCCCCTTCATAGTCATAGATTATATTGCCTGGCTCACCCTCCTTGTTTTTACCTGTAAACAATTAAAAATTATTAGTCATTACTGGTCGTTAGTTATTATTTGAAATAATTTGTTAATCAATTGTAGCCAATTTAAAAAAAAAATCACTTGATGTTACATCTGCAAATTATGCAATTATACATTTCAAGTCAACAGTGTTACAAAATACCTTGGTTTTTATGCGTCGAGGGCTCCTTGTCAATTGTCCCAATATAGACAGAAGGTAAAATGTTAATGAAAGACACTGATCCCTTGGTCAAGTGTTTTATTCTTGTAGCAACCTGGCGTGATGGTTCTGAAGCATCCTGAAGTAACCAAGAATAAATTTATAAGCCTTGATATAACATTTTAATATTCTGTATTAATAAGTGTGTCATTTACAGTAATCTTAATACACAATGTGTGCATCAACTCAAATTTTAATATTTTTCAATTCAAGATAACTGCACAAAATTAATTTAATCTGAAAAAACAATTATTCCATGAACACAAGAGAGCAATAACTATAAACAAATGAAAGTTCTTCTAAATAGTGTTTAATGTTGAAGATGAAATACCTGGTCCACAGTAAACTGCAGTTCATCATTCATTCGTGGGCTGTATGTCAGATCCATAAACTCGCTGAAGTGAAAGAACATACGTGCATCTCGATCTGCACAGTAAATAAAGCCATAGCCATCTTTCAGAGCAGCAATCACACCCTGATTTTTGGAATGTAATAATAAAAAAATCAAGTAAAAGTGTCCAAGAACATAACAATAACTAGATTTGGTATAACATTAGTTCTTTACTTGTTCAGCAATGCAAATAAATGTTATTCCTTAGACTTCTGGGAATCAAATAAATTGACATTTAAAATGACCATAAAAATGTTTAAATGGCAGAGAGGCACACTTATGTATCCAATATAAACAATTTAAATACAATTTTAAGGTAAAAAGGATGATGGAATTAATACTTACAGTTTCTCTTATTTCCCCAGAGTAATCGAAAGTTTCCTCCAGCAAGGCAATATTGGTTGCCCTCTGGAGCTTATCCCGACGATCTGTAGCGATCTGAAACTCCACTGTATCCCCTTGTTGCAAAGTACATTCCCCTCTTTGATCTTTCTCTCCAAAGGGAATTTCAATGAGCCTGAAGCATTTCAAAAATATATATGAAGAAAGAAATCTTAAATATCTCATTAAAATTACTAATTTTAAGATTGTTGTCCCATGAAAGTTATTGATTAAGTAGGAATGCTTCTAAACTGTGCAAATAAAATTTGTTGCCATCACAGTTCCCCATACATTACCTTTTTTAATATATTTAAGCATTTTGCATACTACTATGTTTTGTACCAAGATGACCAGTTCACAGAACTTGAACATGTTCTCCTTTCAATAGTTAAGTTCTTTTTTTTAGCCTGATTGTTCCCCATATAGTGTTGGTCTGGTGTGAACATTAGAATCTAGAACACCCCCACCCCCCTCATGATAAAACTACAACATAGCCCCACTCACATTTCAGTTAAGAATAACATGCTAAACAACAAATGGGCAAAAGATACCTACCATAATCCCTCTAAATAAAAAAACTTAAAAGGGCTTGTTTAATTTTGCTGAAAATTAGCGAAAAGCTTACCCTTTCGGAGTTTCATACATGATTCTTCCAGCCAGAGCTTCACTGGGCCTTCTATTGGTTGACTTAATCATCTTAAGAATTTTACCCTTAACCATTTCTACAGCAATATCCTCAAAGATGACTGTTCCATCTGGAAGACGTTCAATTTCAACTGCCACCTCTTTATTCTGTAATATTAAAAGTAAATTTTCATTATACGGTAAGAGGGAAAATAAGGAATTTTTTTACCACAACAATATAAAAATACATTTTTTTAAAAAATAGTACATTGCAAGAATCCTCAAAAGCAGTTGTTAGCATGAGATATCTTTAAAATTAATCAAACAGCAGCGAAGTTTTTTAAAAATAAGTTTAAGGATTTTTTTTATGGAATATTATTGTGGGTTATTCCTTTTATAGTAAAAATGTGATAACTTAAATATCAAGCATCACAACCAATGATTTGGTTTCATGGTGGAATCACTGGTTTTACAGTGGGGTTTTTTTTGGTTATATATTTTGCTCAAGAAATTATTTTTTTTTTACATAGACAATGCTTACATTTCTTATTTGAATACCAAAGGATACATCATCCCCCAAAATGAGCTCACTGATATCTCCTTTAAATTCACTGTAATGGAAAAAAATTTCCTTCACAATGTCAGCACGTTCAATGAATCCAAAAGTGTCCTTCATGGAGCAAACAACACCAACATAGCGCTGAGTCGCTGACTCGAGGCTCTCAACATTGCGAGCACGAATCTTTCCATCTCTGTGTAAAAAATCAAATTTTAAGTCAACAATAAGATTTCATTGCATTCATGCTTTACACTAATCCATTTACATCTTAGATGCTTCAAAGTGGTTAATAAAAACATGTCATATAAAACAATGCATGAAACAGAAATCTTCAATGATGCTCATAACTTTAAAGGATATATTTACACCAACCTTTTGTCTGTGGCTATTTGAAATAAAACATCGTCGCCGGTTTTGGGTGAGGTGGAATTCCCAACAACATCATCAAGGCCATATGGCAAGAAGAAACATTCACCATTGTGGACATAAGTGACTCGTCCAAGTCCATCTTGAGTGCCAGGTACCGTGCCCTAGCATAAATGTGTTTCAAATATTCCATGAGGCAAGAAATAGCTAATTATTTCATCACACTTAAGTTTATAAGATGAATACTATTTTATAATGTATATAATGCTTACATTTTTCTGCTTCACCAATTTGGCCTCCTGCACTATAGTTCCTTGGACTTTCTCATCATTAATAATCTCTGCTGAGACCATCAATGGATCAACTTTCACAACACCCACTGCTACTGGTTTGCCCGTTCTGCGGTCATATGACATCTGAAATTCCACTGCCTCTGTATAAAAACAATAACTGTTCCGTTTTGAATTTGTTTAAATTTATATTACTTTTTACTCATGCAAGATCATTACATTACACCTTTCAATACTCTAATGCAGGCCTCAGACCTGCTAAGAAAAAAAATCTGTAGGGGCGGTGTATGTGGGGGGAAAGGGGGGGCGCGCCGACCGGGGCTGGGGGTGTATTGGTTTAAGATCTGTAAACTAATGCACAAGCCTTTTATTTAGTAAATAAAGAAATATAAAGTTACCTCCATTGTCTTTGAAGAGTCCACAGAGCATGAGAGAAACATTACTGGAAATGTTTATATACAGATATATAGGACAGAAGATTCATTTTATATGTGCACAGGCTGCTAATTAAGAGTTCAGTTTTCAAGCATATCATATCCCTGGTGGCCTTTTTGCACTTGTCCAACAGCTTTTTGGACAACTTTTGACAACTTGTAATTGATTTTAGTTACAAGCAAGTTAGAAAGAGTATCAACTTTCATGCTTGCCCTAGTTTCATTGTAATTTTCCTTCTCAATAATGGACAATGGAAAAAATTATTTCAGCATCTGCATTGCTGTGTGGATATGTTTATTAATGTCATTGTACCCCCCACTTTCAATAGATAAGTGGGTCTGGCACAGATTGCAGAATGCAAATGTTTCGCCACGGGGTGAAGGCCAAATAAATGAGTGTTTTTCCGAATACTCCTTTCGAAAACGTTAAATATGCCGTTTTTTTTTTGTTTTTTTTTGTTAGGAGCACTATCACTATCAACCTCGGTCACTGGAAAAGCTTTTTCAGCAGTTCTCTTTGCAAATTTATCCATTTAATAAGAAAAGTAAAGCTTAAAGCAACAATAAAAAGAAAAAAAAAGTCACAACACCACTGTAAGCCTAGTAAAACTAAGGATGAGTCATGAATGAGGAATGGAATTTGCGGTTCACTTCGATCAAAACAAAGGAAGTGGCAGTATCGAAATGCACGACTTCCTGTCGGACCCGTTTTTCTTTTTTTTTTCGCTTTTGAATTTTTATGACGGGTGAAAAATTATAATGTAATTTTCGGAAAATCGGAATTTTATGGGGTTTGTCGGAAGGTCGGAATGAGGGGTAAATAATCTGTATAATTCAGAGAAAATCGGAAGGTTTGGCAGGTCTGCAACATCTCCTCATTATTCAACATGGTTCAGAATGCCACCGTTTGATGGGTCAGAGCTCTTGGTGACTCACTCAGTTTGTCTTCACACAACACGACGTTCTGTAACTCGGCGCGTCTGACAGGTGGGTCTAAATGAGCCCCGATGCACAGCAACACACTTCTCACATTTTATTTCAAGATAGCTTTCCTCAAGTCTTCCCTCGAGGGTGGTGTGAATTTAAATTTAAAAAACAAAAGTTTTGATATTGTTCCACTTTTCATCTATTTTTACTTGAGTATGATGCAGGACTATCTCGTAAGTGTTCATTTGTGCTGACAAAAATCTATTCTTTGGTCATTACTTATTATTTGTTCCCCGTTGTTATAATTTTAAAAGGTTAAACCTCATTCATTTCTGGTTGCATTAAGCCGTAGTCTAACTCATTTATAGTAATTAATATTTAGCAACTTTAAACATTGTTCTACACGTGTAAATCAATTGCAAAAAAGAAGTTACTTCCCGTCCTCAGGAATATAAATTAAGCATGGAAGCAACATTGCCGAAAGAAATGAGTTCAAGTGAAACTGATGTACTTTGACTTGACCGTCCACAACATAAAACTATCAATCCATGATCACAAACAGCTGTACATGGACTTGACCGTCCACAACATAAAACTCTATCAATCCATGATCACAAACAGATGTACATGGACTTGACCGTACATAACATAAAACTCTATCAATCCATGATCACAAACAGATGTACATGGACTTGACCGTCCACAACATAAAACTCTATCAATCCATGATCACAAACAGATGTACATGGACTTGACCGTCCACAACATAAAACTCTATCAATCCATGATCAAAAACAGATGTACATGGACTTGACCGTCCACAACATAAAACTCTATCAATCCATGATCACAAACAGATGTACATGGACTTGACTGTCTACAACATAAAACTATGGCAATACACCATCCACAACAGAGCTCAAATCTCACCTCTCCGACCAACATCTCATAAATGAGGACTCCCAGCCCCCACCAATCCACGGCCCTGGAGTAGGACGTCTCAGTTAAAACTTCAGGTGCTAAGAACTCGGGTGTGCCACAGAAAGTACTGGTGCGGTCTTGGAAGCCCATGCCCTCCTTACACAAGCCAAAATCTGCCATTTTGAGGTAGCCTTCTGAATCTAGTAATAAGTTATCTAGCTTTAAGTCTCTGTAATATAAAAAAAAGAAAAAAAAGGAAACATGATTTAAACTTGCATGCCACTATCTTGGCTAATAATGATGTTCATTGTAGTATGCCCAGGTAGACCAGCAGATGGCCAGGTAGACCAGCAGATGGCCAGGTAGACCAGCAGATGCACAGCCAGCCTATCCCACCACTCACATTACACAAATTTAAAAAAATGCAGGATGTGAAAACTAATGGACCCAGCCTGGCTTTGGTGTCAACCTGTACACTATGGGTGGTGTTAATGTCAACCTGTACACTATGGGTGGTGTTAATGTCAACCTGTACACTATGGGTGGTGTTAATGTCAACCTGTACACTATGGGTGGTGTTAATGTCAACCTGTACACTATGGGTGGTGTTAATGTCAACCTGTACACTATGGATCATGTTAATGTCAACCTGTACACTATGGGTCGTGTTAATTTCAACCTGTACACTATGGGTCATGTTAATGTCAACCTGTACACTATGGGTCATGTTAATGTCAACCTGTACACTATGGGTCATGTTAATGTCAACCTGTAAACTATGGGTCATGTTAATGTCAACACCTATAGGCCCAAACTAAGGTTTGTTTGTTAACTAATGTCAACATACCTGTACACTATGGGTGGTGTTAATGTTAACATACCTATAGGCCTACACTAAGGATGGTTGTTAACTAATGTCATCATACCTGTACACTATGGGTGGTGTTAATGTTAACATACCTATAGGCCTACACTAAGGATGGTTGTTAACTAAAGTCATCATACCTGTACACTATGGGTGGTGTTAATGTTAACATACCTATAGGCCTACACTAAGGATGGTTGTTAACTAATGTCATCATACCTGTACACTATGGGTGGTGTTAATGTTAACATACCTATAGGCCTACACTAAGGATGGTTGTTAACTAAAGTCATCATACCTGTACACTATCTTATTTTCATGTAAATACTGCAAGCCCAACACTACACAGCCAGCATAGAACACAGTCCTTGGTTCAGAGAAGACATCGTTGTGAATATGCATCATGAGGTCCCCACCACAGGCGTACTCCATCACAAAACAAACATGTTCCTGGTTAGACAAGTCAAGCAGGAAGCAAACTTAGAGACAAAGATTCAGAAACATCTGGGCCTCTGTGCAGTGTACTTTACCAGTTCCTTTTGTTTAACAATGTGGGTTGCAACTCTATTCTAACCCAATCAATTCTTTTGTTTACCAATGTGGGTTGTAACTCTATTCTAACCCAATCAATTCTTTTGTTTACCAATGTGGGTTGTAACTCTATTCTAACCCAATCAATTCTTTTGTTTACCAATGTGGGTTGTAACTCTATTCTAACCCAATCAATTCTTTTGTTTACCAATGTGGGTTGTAACTCTATTCTAACCCAAACAATTCTTTTGTTTACCAATGTGGGTTGCAACTGTATTCTAACCCAAACAATTCTTTTGTTTACCAATGTGGGTTGCAACTGTATTCTAACCCAAACAATTCTTTTGTTTACCAATGTGGGTTGCAACTGTATTCTAACCCAAACAATTCTTTTGTTTACCAATGTGGGTTGCAACTCTATTCTAACCCAAACAATTCTTTTGTTTACCAATGTGGGTTGCAACTGTATTCTAACCCAAACAATTCTTTTGTTTACCAATGTGGGTTGCAACTGTATTCTAACCCAAACAATTCTTTTGTTTACCAATGTGGGTTGCAACTGTATTCTAACCCAAACAATTCTTTTGTTTACCAATGTGGGTTGCAACTGTATTCTAACCCAAACAATTCTTTTGTTTACCAATGTGGGTTGCAACTGTATTCTAACCCAATCAATTCTTTTGTTTTACAATGTGGTTTGCAACTGTCTTCTAACCCAATTAATTCTCTATTTCAGGTGTATACACAACTAAATACAAAATTTCAATTTCTCTGGGGCTTTTTTAAATAAAAAAAAATGTGAAGGAAAACTAAAACCCTTGCTATTTTTTCTTGAGAAGAAAATCTACGGATTCCACTGCACCAGACTTGGCAGGAGTCAAGTCATGGATGACACTCAGCAAGTTGAAGCTTAATGATGACAAACTGGAAGCACTCCTCATTCACAATCACCCTATACCTAAACTCTCCTCAACTCATTTCAAGTAAGTAACTCCCGACATACAGTTCACATTCTCTGCTAGGAATCTTGGTTATGTTCTTTCTAACAACATGTCTCTCTAAAACATATCTCTCACATTTGTCGTTCTGTATACACCGCTATCTGTCAGATCAGCTCCATCCGCCACTACCTCGTAGTTAGCGCAACAGAAACCCTAGTCTATGCTCTTGTTCTCCCTTGTCTTGACTATTGAAACTCTCTTCTGTCAGGTTCACCAAAACACTTCATAAAAAATTACAAAAGGTTCAAAACTCAGCTGCTAGGCTAGTTCTGAAGGCAAAAAAATGTGATTACGTCACTCCACTCACTTCATTGGCTCCCTATACAGGCATGCATTTATTACAGGCTGTCTGTTCTCTGTCCCAACTTTTTCTCGCACTCCTGTCCTTCCTATCTAACCAAACTCCATTCTGTCTATTCACCCCTTCGGCAGCTTCGCTCCTCCTCAGACACGCGTATTTTATCCG